TATTTAATTGAAAATCTATAATCCATAAATTGATTATTTATGCCTAAAGTTTAAATTTTTGTTTTTATTGCATTTTGGATTTTATGTTAAATTAAAAACGGAACCAAATATAAGGAGTTTCTTGGTTGTTTTATTTTTTAATTTTTAATGAATATAAAAAAAAATACTAAAAGGAAAAGGGAAGTTATTGTAGACCAAAAGGCATTTTACTATTTATTGAAATAGTGAAAATGATGAAATTGCTCTTGACTCAAAAATAAAAAAAAAAACCCTTGAACTAGATATTGAGAGAAACATTGTATTTTTACTATAACACAATTATTTTTTACAACTTATGCAAAATTAGATTAGTCATTTAGTTTTTTATTCAATAATAAAATTACAATTTAATCACATAATAAAAGAATACAATGCCTACTGCTTATTGCATTTTTATCTTTTTAGTTTTTTAAGAATAATTCAATTACTTTTATGTCTTTAAAAGAAAAAAAACCATTATAACTTTCTCACAATGGCTTCGTTGTTATTTTATATTAGGGATATTGTTATAATTGATATATATTAAATGTTATTATGATATGTGCATAAGAATGTCCGTCGTGTTGTTCAAGTGGTGCGTACAGGGTTGTCTGACTTGAATGGTCTTGGCGCTTCCAACATGATGAGATGACGCATGCTCAAAATGTTTATTTGGTTTGACGCTAGTGATTGTTTTCTTTTCTTTTTTCTCTTCGCCTCAAATTTTATGCTAGTATTATAAAAAATTCAGACCAACCCCTGCAATTTATTTTTTTTTATATTTGATCTTTATCCTTTTGATTATTTGTTATTTTTGAATTATTTATAAAATTATAAATATTTTTTAATTTCACCCCTTATTGTTTTTTAATATGTAAATAATCCACCAAATTAAAAATATTTTTTAATTTCACCTTTATGATTTTTTTTAATCTTTCAAATTTAGTTCTCATTCTTTTGATTGCTATTAGTTTTGTTTGGGATTATTTTTTAAATTGCTTTTCAATTATGAATGTATCCTTGGGTTTTTTTTCCATCAGATTTTATCCTGATTCTTTTTGTTGCTATCTTCTTTGCTTTTACAAGTTTTTTTTTTTATTAACATTCTTCAACAATTTCATTCTTCAAAATTAAAATAGTCAGGGATTAAGTTTCTTGATTAAACTCAAGTTCAAGATTTCATGGTTTTTGAGTTTTAGAAATTAAATCAGGTTTAGAAAATATCCCGAGGTTTGATTTTTTTTTCTTTTTTTTAAATGATGTCTTCTTACTTTTATCCTTTGTTTTTTGAGATTTGCTTTGTTATTTTTTTATAGTTACTTCTATGAGGTTAGCTTTGGGTTCATGAATAGAATCATCGGTTTTAAAGGCTAACATGGATTTACTATTTTTTTGTTTGTCATTTTTTAATTGATTTATTTTAATTTTATTTTTCAAACTTTTTTTATATTTTTTGAAAAATTATTCCAATCTTATATCATTGGTTGTGGTGTTCATGAGTTCCCTTGGTTTAATAGAGATTTTTTAAAATTATTTTTTTATATTTTTATCTTTTAATATTAAGTTATTTAATAATTTGAATGATTCATTTTTTAATATTAGATTGTTTGATAATTTGAATCAGCTCTAATCTATTTCTTTTAAATTATTATTTTGTTATTTTTTTCTAATTTATTTAATATTATTATATTTTTATTTATATTATTTAAATTACTAATTAAATTAATAACTCAATCTCATATTTTTGTACTGACTCAATTTTTTTTTTAAAAAAAAATCTTGCTCTCGGCAGAGAGCTAGCAACAATATAGTAATTTGCTATTTGACGGAGCAACAAAAAAAAAAAAGAAAAAGGGGGAA